TGCTGGAGAGCTGACCGACCTCATTGCCTGTGTGTGTGTGTGTGTGTGTGTGTGTGTGACTGTCCAGGATTAATAGCGTCAGTAAATCCCGTCCAGTATTCTTGGCTCAGTTTGGTGCAGCACTGACAGAGAAAGCACTAAAAGTCACTTACATGACAGAGTTAGCAGACATGCGTTACTCCTGCGATCGTCTGCCTCGTACTGATGAAGTCATGTTCAGCGACTCAACAAGAATCTTTTCCTACGAAGCAACCTGCACTGTACTAATGAATCAGACGCCCTGTTGACTCACAGCCTGACTGAGGACCGGCTGTGTGTTTGTCACGGTCGTGCTAGCGGGCCCAAAGCCATCTGCGCCCTCTCCTGATAGAAAAATCACACTGCGGAACTGTTTCTCGTTCTGCCTCGGCGGAGCACCTCCAGCTTGTTACACTCGATCACGAGGAGGGTTGTGTGGGTGCTTGTTTGTTTTTTTGCTCAGATTTGTGCGTGTTTGCGAGTCCAGACTAAAGCGTCACAATTTAGTCGACAGTAAAACTTAGTTTCTCCACAAAGAATCACAGAAAGCGCCACTGTAAACCTTAGTGGACAAAGACCACAACGCTCTGGTGGAATGGCTCAGGTTTGTTTGCCAGAAGATGGACAGACACAAAGACGTGCGGGGTCGTTACCCGGTGGAAGAGACCACTATGATGGCTCGGGGGTTGACCAGGTCCGTGCCGAACAGCGTCCTCCTCCCGCTGCCGTCCAGGTTGGCGGTTTCGATCATGTCCGGGTTCGAGTCGACCCAGAACATCAACCTGCGTTTGACATCCACCGCCAGACCCTCTGGACTGACCAGATCTACACGGGAGCAGGGAGACCACATAGAGGGTTTAGAGATCATTTAAAACACACACACACACATCACAGAGCGCCAGTGTGTGTTCTTACTTGTGTTAATGAGTATCTCTGGCTCGGCACCAGCCACCAATGAAGCCCTGTTGATGGTTCTGGCGGACAAATCTGTCCAATAGACCTGGTTCTCTTTGCAGTCGTAGGCTATACCAACAACGATGGAACCCTGGAGACACACACATGAACATAATGAGATATGTCGACATAATCACAGCCACGCCGGTGTCGACCTGATGCGGCATAAAAAGTAAAGAAAACAGATACCAGATGTTAAAGGGGGACACATGGAAGCGTGTCCATTCATCTCTTACATGTAGGGTCAGTAGCGTTTTGGACCGGGTTCCATCTAGTCGGGTCCCGTTAAGGGGCAACGCTCCTATTTTCTGTCCCTGAGCGTACAGCAGCGTGATGTCAGCGTTCGGCGGAGGGGTCACGTCTGGGCGGGGCAATGGGCGCACGGTGGGCGGGGCCGCTGAGGGAAGGCCTGGGACAAAGATTGGATGGGTTGGAAATTACATTTCAGCTATGATTGATGGCCCCAAACGGCACAGCGCTGGCGAAGAGACACTTACACGCAGGTTTGACGACGTCATGTGATCGGGTGCCAGGGACCTCTCGTCCATCCTGGTCCACGCACCAGCAGTAAGTGGTCTCTCCGTAGCACTGGACAGGACTGAACTGTCCATCCGGCTCGCACTGAGGCACGTACTGTTGCGGCTCCGGTTTGCCGCCGTAGTGCTCGATCAAACTGGTCCTCCATCGCTCGCACACGCTCTCGGGGTGCTGGGTCGGCGCCACGGGGACTGAGGGGGACACGAATCAAACACACCCAACGCTGTTAACGTTTTTAAATATTTAAAAAAAGTAAAGTATAATACTACAGGGTTGTGCAATTACAATTCCCATCCCATTCGGTTGCAATTCATATCATTATTTAATCCGATTGTTAGGGTGTTTTCTTGCTGGAGTTTACATTACAGTGATATGTGGAGTGCTTGATTAATGGTGCGGGGAGGTTCTGTGTTTAAAGAGACACACACACACATCTTGCTTTCGTCAATACTGTTTACCTTGTAAAATCTCTTTAATAACTCGCTTTATAGGCGAGCTTTAAAACTAAACCTGAAACCACTTTGGGCTTCCACTAATGTTTATTCTGGCCTCCCTCTCTCTCGCTCTCTGTGCGTCTCTGATGCCAGACACGTTGCTAAGACTAAGAGGGAGATCGGGGTAATATCTGAAAGGAGGGTGAGAAGAGAATAGCTCCGTAGTGAGAGATCAGAGAGGTTCAGAGCGAAGAAGGCTAACTAAACAATTAGGACTGAAGTCTTGCCGAGTTTTTCCGGCAGCGTTCACTGTAGTGGCGGTCAGCGCGCTGCGATCCGGCCTCATGAATCACTTGGTTTTACTTCTATTTAGTGTTTAACCACATGACCAACTGAGTTCAGTGGTCCACGTGTCTCTGACAGAAATGCTAAATCGATGATATTTCGGTCCTCGGGCTGACTTACTGTGTTGGCAACGACTTATGTGGGCACACAGATGTGAGAGCTTAGTGTGCGTGTTTGATGCCGGCATCACGTAAACCTCTAAATATGATACAAGTGTAATTCAAGAACTAAAATGGACAAATTATAGGGTTACATCAGGCTCACTGTGGTCGTACCGAGCAACTGAAAATGCTTTTAGTTTTAATAAAGCTGAGCTGAGTCTGTGTTTCTGGAGGTAACACCGCTTCGTCACTCAGCTGCTCAGGCAGCCCGGTTTGTTTGTGCTTCGGTCGCCCGGCACCAGCCGGCTGCTCATCTTACCACCAAGTGACCGCTTCAGATGTTTCGGACGGTCGTAAATGGGATTTATAGCAAGAGGTGAATTTACAGAACGGCCTCTGTGTGAGTGAGAGGGCGAGAGAGGATCACAGAGAGAGAGAGGGTGTGTGTGTGGGGGGGGGGTTCTCACCTGGTTTGTCACAGTCCACAGATGGTTTATGAGGTGGAGTCTTGGTTCCTTTTCTCTCCTGTCCCCTACTGTCCACGCACCAGCAATACCCAGAGGAACCGGAGCACTGAAGCACATAACAATTAACAACAATGTTATCCGCACGAATAAGAAGAATAAGAAGAAGAAGAGAAACAAGAGAAACGCTCTGCAGAGGAATCACAGTTTGTACCTGTCGAGGTAGATATTGTCCCTCTGCATCACACAGAGGTATGAATACCCCAATCCAACCCTGTCCCTCTGGAGTGGTGGTCCGAACACCGTCTCTGTTGTGCTCACAGTGAGTTTTAGGACGCTCTGGTTCATCTGGAAAAAATAACAAATGTACAGAAGCGTTATGATTGAATGAACGTGGCTGGTTTTGTCTCCTGACTGCCAACACTGCTCTCTTTGCTGTGAGTCGTTATCTGGTTCTACCGGTTCTATGCAGATGACACTGGACTTTCAACTCGTGTCCTGTATTTATTATACACTATAAATACGCCAGGCTGGCCCCGTAAAGGATTCTTTTCATCCTGTATGAGTCATCCAGAACGCTGCAGAACTCCTTCACTCTGGTCTTCTTCCTCTAAGCTGATACGTTTAAACAACCTTGTTATAGCCACCGTAAACAGCATATATACAATATAGCCCGAGGTTCTCCTGGCAGGGTACAACTCACCTGGTTTGTCACAGTCTCTGGGTGGTGTACCAGGTGGTGTCCTGGTTCCTGTTCTCTCCTGTCCCCTATTGTCCACACACCAACAATGTCCACTAGGGCTGTGGCACTATCACAACGACGAAAGATTATTTAGGTATTACGTCTATCATTTTGTTTAACACTAAACCACAGTAAAACAGGTTTGTTGTGGATGCCAACCTGCAGCGATAGGTACTGTCCGTCAGCGTCGCATTGGGGCACATAGATAGGTTGTCCGTCTTGACCGATAGTCTGAGCTCTGTCTCTGTGGCGCTCACAGTGAGTTTTAGGACGCTCCGGTTCATCTGGAAAACATTTAGTAGTTACCAAAAGTTGTAAAAGTAACAGACAAATTGTATCAAGCACATCTCAAGTTGCAGGTCTTGAATCCACATGAGTTATGATGTACCGAGTCAACATGTTTTTACAGACGTGCCTCTATGCTGATGACGATCCACTATCCTGGGCAAGCTGACTTCTGAAAGTCTCTCCTTCTTCTTTGATGGTATCATGACTTCTGCACATACTTCAGCCTTCGCACAATCCCTGACTTACCCCGAACACGTGGCATTCATTACGGCCATGTTCTCGTTCTGTTGGTCTGCACTGTACAACTCTGCTCAGAGCCTTGTAAGCTCTCCTCATATCCTGTACAACCGAGTACAACCCCCCCCCCCCGGATGGGCTTCTGAAGTATTTTCCGTCAACCCTAACAACTCATCTAGAATGCTACTGAAGTGATCTTAGATACATAGTAAAGTCACCCCAACGAGTCTCACCTGGTTTGTCACAGTCCACAGGTGGTGTACCAGACGAGGTCCTGGTTCCTGCTCTCTCCTGTCCCCTATTGTCCACACACCAACAATGTCCAGTTGATCCGTGGCACTGAAATACACAATAACAACCATTATTACACATAACAAGCCTCATGAGAGAGCAAAGGCATGAAGTCTCTTTACATTAAAAGCAGATCTCACCTGTTGAGATGTGTACTGTCCATCTGAGTCACACTGAGGTACAAACACTCCTATTAAAGGGTACCCCTCTGGACTGGTGGTCTCTACACTGTCTCGGTGCTGCTCACAGTAAGTTCTGGGCTCATCTGAGGAGTTCAGATTAAATAACAGTAAATAAATAGTCACACCAGAGTACAAAAACCTGATGACGTTCCTCAGAGCTAGTAACCGACATGTAATTACAAAACCTTCAGTGTACGTGTATGAAGACCTCAAAGAATGGACCCTTTCCCTCACCTGGTTTGTCACAGTTTGTGGGTGTTGTACCAGGTGGGGTCCTGGTTCCTCCTCTCTCCTGTCCCCTAACGTCTACACACCAACAATGTCCAGTGGAGCCGTGACACTGGAGCACATGATATCAAAATGATGCTTACGTTTCTTCATGTTACACAAAGGTTGCATGACATTCATGAATAAAACTACTAATCTGTCACCAGACGCTGACCTGCAATGATGTGTACTGTCCGCTGTCATCACACTGAGGTACGTAGGCTCCGACAACAGGATGTCTCTCTGGACTGGTGGTCTGCACGCCGTCTCTGTGGCGCTCACAGTGAGTTTTAGGACGCTCTGGTTCGTCTGGAGGGATAAAGATGAACGACAGCAGGGATCATATGCATATTCTATATATATATTTCTAACACAGACCATTTGTATTTACATAACTACTAACTATTATTTAGATATGTAGCGCATAGTCAGTCCTTCATTTAATGTGTTAAGAACAACACATGCAGTGGAAAATAAAACATACAAACTACAAATCTGATCAAATACACATGTTGCTATATTACATGTTGCTTTTACTTTTGCATTAGAATTACTACTTTAGGGTTAATGGTGGATGTGTGGACAGGACTGTGTTTGTGTAAAGACCTACAAATGTACGGTTTAAAAGAATGACTGGGGGGGGGCAGTGTTTATTTTCTGACTGACAACTCGTAGTTAAAAAGGGCTTAGGGTCATAAAATCCATACAGCCGGCACTTCTCCCTGTCAGCTTGTAGTTAATGTAAGAAACAAATAACAAAGTTGCATTTACTTTTTGCAACAATGTAAAAAACGAAATGTACTTGTTTCTCATACGTCCTTTACGCTCAACTTCCCACCACACACACACACACACACACACACACACAGTCCTGCAGTGATATCACCTGTTTTTCCAGGCATTCCAAGGCTGTGACCCAATGACCTCAGTAGTGCACCACTTACAAGGTTAGACACACACTTCACATAAACGTGCTGTCTGCTTGACTTGTCACTGAGTTGAGGAATTAGGGGGTTCACAGGTCAATGTTAATGACATAATACACCTGCTGACGCCGGTGCTGTTACTGCAGCGGTGGAAACAGTTTGAAGCTCTCACGGGAAGCTGAATCGAGGGAGGGGTCCGTCTGTTCCTGTATGTTTTTCGTTCTCACCTGGTTTGTCACAGTCTGTTGGTGGTGCACCAGCTGGGGTCCTGGTCCCTGTTCTCTCTTGTCCCCTACCGTCCACACACCAGCAATGTCCAGTGGAGCCGTGACACTGAAAAATACACATATTATTTATCAAATGAAATTCAAAAGTCATCTGCCTGACAGTTAGCTGACCACTCATTAGGTGCTGACCTGCAGTGGTGTGTACTGTCCTCCTGCGTCACACTGAGGTATGTAGGCTCCGACAACAGGATGTCCCTCTGGACTGGTGGTGTGAACACCGTCTCTTTGGTGCTCACAGTGGGTTTTAGGACGCTCTGGTTCGTCTGAGGAGAACAGCGTAACATTTGTTTACATGGTAGATTATAAACTGATCAAATAAACCGGCCACAACTACAAGATAATACTAGCAAGTCTGTTTAGATTGATCTGATTGGATTCAATTTGGTGTGTTACCCGGGCCGAACAGCAGCCCTAAGCCTAAATGTAAGCACAGCCTGCCAGCCGAAATCTCACCTGGTCTGTCGCAGTCTTTAGGTGGTGTACCAGGTGGAGTCCTGGTTCCTGCTCTCTCCTGCCCCCTAACGTCCACACACCAACAATGTCCAGTGGAGCCGTGACACTGAAATAACAATACCAGTAACCGAAATGAATTCACGTATTTTAAGTTTTGAAATAGCAGTATTAGTGATTTGAAAAGGATATTTCATGTATTAAACCAATTGCAAACACTGACTTGTAACGATCTGTACTGTCCGTTAGCGTCACACTGAGGTACGTAGGCTCCAACTATAGGATATCCCTCTCTGTCAGTGGTCTGCACACCGTCTCTGTGGTGCTCACAGTGAGTTTTAGGACGCTCTGGTTCATCTGTGAAGAAAAAGAAAAGAAATTATATGAAAGAATTTGCTGTTATGTGATCATCTTTTGACCCCATCATATCCTACTTAAATAACAAGGTTCAAGGCAATTAGTTCATTAAATAATTAACATTTAAAAAGTGGTGTCTCGGCCACTTTCTAAGGCTAAGCTTGGCTTGGAAGTTAAGTTTTATCTTTTCTCCTTCTTGCTGGCGATGATGCACACCAGGATGGTGTCATCTGCATATGTGAGCATTTTTTCTGATTCAAGGGCAAAATGTACCACAGTGGGTCCATGTTTAAATACTTTTTTTGTTTATTATTCTTTTGCCTTATTGGTTTTTAATGGGGAATCTACACTGCGAGTTTAGTTTACTGGTTATGGGTAATCCTGGTGATGTCATCATGATGTCATCTAACTTTAAACCCTTGTAAGTAAGTCAAATAATATTTGTGCCTTTGTGTAGAACAATCTGACCAAATTGATTTAATTGATTTTTGAATGAATCCAGAGGTATGCATGCTCCTCACCTGGTTTGCTGCAGTCTGTACGCGTTGTACCAGGTGGCGTTCTTGTTCCTCCTCTCTCCTGTCCGTTACCGTCCACACACCAACAATGTCCAGAGGAGCCGTGACACTGCAGTAAGTAATACCAGCAATAACATACCATATTTTATCAGTATGAAATACAGTTAACCTTCCTTTGGTTGGAGGTGATAAAGAGTGTTTTCAGACACTTCATTTGTGACAAACCTGTGAAGGTAAGTACTGTCCATTATCATCACACTGAGGTATGTAGGCTCCAACAACAGGATACCCCTCTGGACTGGTGGTCTGAACACCGTCTCTGTGGTGCTCACAGTGAGTTTTAGGACTCTCTGGTTCGTCTGGAGGGATAAAGATAATTCAGACACTAATCTAATTCTCCAGCTTCGAGGGAAAGAGTTGAAAACACAATCACTCTTTGATGTAATAGACTGGAGGTGTGTTTTTGTTGATCTCACCTGGTCTGTCGCAGTCTGTGGGTGGTGTACCAGGTGGCGTCCTGGTTCCTCCTCTCTCCTGCCCCCTGACGTCCACACACCAACAATGTCCAGTGGAGCCGTGACACTGAAATGAATCATCAGAAGTTTCCAAATCAGTACGTCGCTCAAGTCCTCAGCCGGCCACGTACTTTAGCGCTCTATGCGTCACCTGCAGCGGTCGGTAGTGTCCGACGGAGTCGCACTGAGGGACGAAGGCTCCGAGACTCGGTCGACCGCCTTGTTCCCCCCCGCTCTGCAGGCTGTCTCTGTGCTGCTCACACTGGCTCCTTGGACGAACTGTCTGTCCTGTAGAGACAAATAATATATATATGTTTCACTATGGTTTCTTTTTGTTTCCTCCCACATCTTTGTAGTTGGTTTATATTGGATATGTTTAGTTAATCATAGAGGAAATGTATCAGTTATTTCCACATTGGATACATATTTATATATTTGTTTGTGTTCCTATGAAACAAAGTGGAATTTCTAACATTTTTCAATACAATGTTTCAATAGAGAAAGAGATCAGAACTCATGATATTAGTCGTAATCATGCATCACTATAGTGGCAACTTCACTGACCTTCCTGCTGGGAACAGTAGAAACCATCACCATGAAACCCCGGCTGGCACTGACACTGGAAGGAGCCCAGTGCATTGACACATCTGGCGCTGATGTGACACGGAGAGGAGCTGCATTCATCCACATCTAAGAAAAAATAAATACAACAACCACAAATGTAAAAACGGAACCTACAAATTGGAATTTAGTCAAAAATACTGATCTATACCGATCTATATCTAGAAACTAATTCAGTTCAGTGGTATCTTATATTTGGATCTGTTCCAGGCCTTATGTAAAGTATCTGTCCATCAGGGAGGTAGGGAGGGTTTGAAAGAAGTTCATCAAAAGTTCACACTGATGGGTGAAAGGACACACACACACACACACACACACAAACACACCCTCAGGACCTCTCTCCTCCACACATTCCAAAGCCAAACACACATTGTGTCATTGCTCCATTTGTCTCTCACTTTCACCCCCCTCTGCTGTCTAATCTCACCCTCTCGTTCTCACATTAGGCCTCTCATTCCCACCCCCGTGTTCTCACATTTGTCACCCCATCCTGCCCTCTCGCCACGTTTCCTCGCTTTTGCAGCTGTGCGCCGCTGCCGTGGAAGACACGTTGTGACTGCGCTCGGGACAAATACGTGGACGTCTTCCAAATGCATGCAGCACCACGTGTTTCCACACATCTCTTATGTGGCCAACAAATGCAACGGACAGCGATGAAGACGGGAGAATGTTTCTTGGCTCGAGCTGCTGTCTTTCTAAAGTCAAGCCTTTATGTTTAGTGGCTTTAGTTGATTTCTTTGTTGATGTTGGAGCTCAGCTCAAAGACAAACCACTACAAAGGGCTTGTCAGTAGTTCTGGAGAATAATTAACAGGTGTTGAAAGAATTTCAACACACACAGATACACAGGTGAGCCTGCTTACTGAACTTTAAAGTAAAACCTTCAACAGTCGCCTCACTGGGAATTAATAAAGCACCTGTGCTTACATCAAGATATCCTTTTTTGCTGTTGGTTTTTAGCCTCGCTAGAGATAGCGATGTCCGTCTGTTGGTTGGTTTGTCGTTCCACACGGAAATATAAGAACTATTGGATGGATTACCATGAAAGTCGCAACAGACTTCAGACTGATTTTGGCTTTAAGGGGCTTTCATTGCAACTCACCAACACAGGTACGCCCGTCGAAGCCAAACTCGTAGCCGCTCTGGCACAGGCAGCGGTGGCTACCGGGCAGGTTCACGCACTGAGCATGAGCGCCACATGAGCTCAAGCTCTCAGCACACTCGTCCACGTCTGCAGTGAGACAAAGGGAGACAGTTATTCTATGAACTCGTGAGCCTGCAAACCAGGAATCCCAGTCTACCGACAGCTAGCATGTGTGTGTGTGTGTAAAAGCTGTAAACACGGGTCATTACTGGTGCTGTGGTGTTACTATAACATGTAACCCCACACCTGGATTCTTGGCTGCATTCCTATGTGTGTTGTGTAATAAACAAGACAAAACCACACACAGATTATGTGACCAGAGACAGACACTGAGGCCTAATTATGGAAACTAAGGCTGAGCGAGAGAAGAGAAGAGAAGAGAGTAGTAGAAGTACAGATGATTCCTGCCATCCAGCAGGTGCTTGACCCCTCTACTCTGGATGGACAGATGTTGATGAAACACAGACGCTCTGCCTTGAACCGTCTTTGACTCTGTTTGCATGTGTTTGTGTGATGGAGTGAGACAGTACTCTGTACGTGTACGCCCATACGAAGCGCTGACAGTTACCGTAACAATTGCGTCCGTCCCCTCTGTAGCCAGTCGCACACTGGCACTGGAAGTCCCGGCCCTCCAGTGGGATACACTGGGCCGTGGTGTCGCAGTCGTGGTTCCCAGCGTAGCAGGGGTTAACCAGCTCCGGCTCTGTTGGCTCGACTACACGGAGGAGGAGACACAGATTGGATTGATTGATATATATACGTATGTTTTTTGGTGTAATTGTGCACCTTGGTGCTCATCTATATGGCTTCTGGTATCAGTAAAACCATAGTAAAGAGGATTTAGCAGCACAGATCAAAACAATGAATGGGTTCCGCCTTAAAACGAAGCTAAAGAGACGGACAGTAACAGCATCACATCCAGAGACACGGACTCCACAACACTCCAAAAGTCCTGAATTGAGATTTATTGAGACCCGGATTATTCGACGGTCAAAGTTCAGTTGATTGCAAGCCTAACCAAACGCACATGTAAAATCACTCCACGCGCATTCCCGTGGGACGGTTTCCTCTTAGGAAGTCATGTTCTCAATATTGGACATATGGATGATGTTAAGAGACACCCACACACAGACAGGGGGATGAGTGAGCGGATGTGCGTTCAGGGTTTCCTCATACCAAACCAAGAGGCAATTTCAACAGCAACCCTCGATTCGGGGGAAGGCAAACAGCAGAGTGAAGAAACCCATGGGACACCATGAGAACAGAATGCGGAGGGCTCATGAATCCCCGAAAACTGGCTCGGTGTCAAGGTTTAAATAATGCTCGAAAAACGTATTGAAAAAAGAAAGTGTTTTAAGGAGCACGCTGGCGTCACATTTGCTGTCGGATAAAAAGAAATACAGCACTTCTGCTGTCAATCAAATAGAAATATTATTCCAAATATGGCAGCTGTATTAGGTTTTCAGAAAGTGGTTTTAGTGTCTAGACAGTTTTACTTCGTTTTAGGGAAAATGCCGTTAGCGGTCTGGAGTCCAGTTGGCCGTGATGCTTTACATGCGCGCAGCTATCCGCAGGAATCAGAGAAGCTAACAACCTACAAGACTAATATCTGTTTTAATGATGTTTAAGTGCTTTCGGGTGGACTTTTTCTTTACCATCAGGGGCATATAAACAACAACACACACACACACACGCGCACACACACACACACACACACACACACACACACACACACCTAAACTAAATCAGACACACAGACGTTAGCCACAGCTTGCTTCCATCTCCTCAGCCCAGAGGCCAATTCTGGCTCATTATCAGAGAGAGAGACAGAAAGGGACTCTTCAAAGTCCTGAATGCGCAGATGAGAGGCCGAGATACACATGGATGGGAGGAATAAAAACGGAGGGATAATTAGAGAGAGAGTGAGTGAGAGAGAGAGAGAGAGAGAGAGAGAGAGAGATGGTGGAGAACACACAAACGCAGGAACTACACACCATCAAAGAAATGACTTGTAGTTTCCCACCTGTTGCTTTTTCTAAAACACACACACACACACACACACACACACACACACACACACACACATCAATGGTTTGTTCACACCAAAAGTGAGTTTTCGCCCCGCCTCGCTCGGTGACAGCAGTGTCATTTGCATTTATTCGTGCCACTCGCATCGGAGCGTCGTAGAGGAGGAGGGGCTTATCTCCATGTGGACACCAACTGGTGCTGCTTCGTACACTTTGTGAAAGTCCCAAGGTAAGTTGGAAAGTGGGTTTCACCGAGCTGTATAGAGAGGCGAAGTCCTTTCCCTCCTGGTGGACCACCATGGGACCTTATTTCGTCTCTCTATTCACTGTATAGACGGGTTTCTTGTGTGTTAACATTACTGGCCGGGTGAAAAGCTTTCATTGTCGTGGGTTTTTCCCAAAAACTTTGCCCAGTTCTAGTCGACAGCCGACGGCTTCTCGACAGGTATGGAACAAGTGTCGCCCGCTTTCCGTTGTCCCGACTCCAGTAATAAATTATTTCTATTTTATTCCATTCAGACTCATTCTATTTCTATTCAATCACACTATTGACTGAAACACATTTTTAAAAGGCCCACACCAGCGTTTCTGTAGGTTGTAGCCTGATTACTACAAATAATACTCTACATGTGCTGCTGACGTTTTAAACTGAAAATAATTCCTTTTCCCCAGTTATATAAGAACCAGACTGTGTGACAGCTGTTCACAAAGATGTTGACATCACATAAGTCAGGTAGATCTGTTGTCTCTCTCTCTCTCTCTCTCTCTCTCTCTCTCTCTCTCTCTCTCTCTCAGTTCAGTGTCTTAAGTTCGTCTACAATCTCGGATTCTCATGACATCAGTGGGCAGCTATTCTACCCGGCACCCCCCCCCCTCCCCCCTATAGAAAATCTGTCATTGGCAGGGATATTATTTCCCAGAAAGTGTAAGACCCTTCAACACACACACACACACACACACACACACACACACACACATACACACACACACACACCACTTAACCCATGTTTACAAAACCCCTGATCCCCGAAAGCTCTTCCAGCTGTGCTCTGGGTGTATCGGTGCGTGTGCGTGTGCACGTGTGAGATGTGTCATCATAACCTTTTTAATCAACGTGTTGACGTCTAAATGGCAGAAACTTGGCCTGGATTCAAAAACTGGAAGAAGAAAATCCTGCCCCCTCTCTTTCAATCTCTTCCTTTTCATCTCCATCATTCGGGGTCTCTTGTTTCATCAGGCTCAGTGGGTAAAGGAAGCGGGACCACTGTGTGTTGACAGAACGGGACACGTGTTGTATTTCCATGCACTTTTTTTCATGTTTGTGTAGTCTCTGTTTTCCTGCTGATATCTGGAGGAAATGAGTGCGAGAGAAGCTAAAAATGAAACAAAAGAAGCATCTCTTAATTTAAATACTTAAGAAACAATGGTGGTAATAATAGATAGAAAAAACAATTATCCTACATGATAAATGTGATTTGGTATCAGCCGATACGGCTTCCAGCAATCAGCCCCAAAAAGAGTACCATAAGTATTCATTTGCTTATAAGAGTCAAATAATTAGGGCCATTGTTTGCCTCCATACAAATATCACAGAGCCAAACCAATCTGGTCAGAATACAAAGTTCTGTGGTTTTGGTTTTGTGTTCTGGTACCACAAAGTACTTTTGGAAACCATATCACTCAATGAGGTGGACATTCTTCTCTCCGCACTCGCCATATTTGTTTATTTCTCCTCGTGCCAGCTCACTCTGCAGGACGATGTCAACGCTCCAGATTTCAGTCCTAACGACCAAACCGAACCAGTCACATGTCGAAAGTCAGCTCTGACGCCAATCGCGGTCACAGTGATCCTCAAAGTGGTGCGTCTGCAGCCTTTAGTGCACAATGAACCCAGAAACAGGGGTAATACGGACTCTTGAACATTGTTTTCTGATGTTTCAGCGTATAATCATCCCTCGGCTCGCGGTGTGTGTTGTTTGAAGCGGAGCTCTGTCCAACTCTGCAGCGTGGTTTTGGCTAAAGGTTTCAATTACTTGGTGGTCTGGTCACTAGTTGTGGCCCCGGGACAAGAAAACCTCATGTTTGACGCCCGAGTGTGTTCACCCACTCAAATACTGTCAGTGATGGTCTGGAAGGGATTTAAGCAGTCACTCAGATACTCGCATTCCCAAAATAATGAGCCAGTGTTGTCAGCGGGCCAGTGTTTTCCACGTGATGGATGCACACACCAGAAAGAAATTCTTCTTTGAAGCCCCTGTTCTTCTTCACTATGACTGCTTTTATTCCCAATGTTGCGCCACCAGAAGGTAGAGTTAAAACACTGCAGGCCGCTGATTGGTCAAGAGAGACGCTGGACATCCTACACACACCCGCCATATTTAAATAGCCAAGCTACCGTCGATAGCAACACTCGACCCGGATTTTGTGGAAGTGGATCTATGTTTTTCATAAAACCAAACTCAGCCAAGAGGATTGGGATCGTAGCCTGAAATCTGCAGGGTTCGGTTCGGTTCCACCCGGACTCACCTCCGACTGGGCTGATCTTGTTGGTGATGGCGTATCTCAGGATCCGCTCCTCCTTGACGTACATCACGAACACCCTCTCCATGGTGATCTGCAGCGTCTCCGGGACGGCGGCGCGGTGGTCGTGCCGACAGTCGCGGTAGGTGATGTTCTGCTTCAGCTGGAAGGAGAAGGACTCGGAGCCCCGCTCGGCCGAAACCACCGAGAACTCCCTCACAGAGGTGGAGGTGGCAACTGGGGAAAGAAAAAAGTGTAAAGGTTTTTTTAGGCGCACGGAGGCATCAAACGTTGCACAGACTTCGTCTCTCGTGGTTGTTGCTGTTACCGGATGGGTAGTACTGGTAGGTCTCCTTGAAGGGATCCATGGTGACTTCAGCTCCAGGGGGCAGGAAGGGCACGTTGCCACTGACTACAGTATCCACGGTGAGGTGGTTGTGGTCGTCAAGGCCGCGGCCCTTCTGGATGATTGACAGGCGCTGGTTGCCGGGGTAGAAGATCACCTCTGCATGACGAGTGAACTCGGCACCTGGTGATGAAATAAGTCGACCGATCAATTCTTCTTCTGTTTGCCTATTTATAGATTATCTTCACAGCACTGCAGACACGCCAACGATGCAGCAGTTGAATATCATTTGTGAAGATGTACAAGCGACATAATTTGACCAAAACAGTTTACCTGTGATTTTGAATCCTGCTTGGCTGTTGGGCAGCTCCAGAGCAAACATCCATCCAAACAGCTCTCCTATCGGTGCGAGCGGCATCAGAGCCCAGCCCACCGGCTCGGGTACCTGACCAATCAACACAACGTTTACAAAAGGGGAAATGCAGAGAGACCAGAGACTTAAATGTGGATGAGAAGAGGAGAATTCAGATTCTCAGACTCCTACCTCGCTGATGGCAGTGTACGCTCTGCCATCGCCCACCACGATGTAGGCGTGAAGATCGATGTTGTTCAGCGCCACTGGAGTCGAACCCACGGCCACTGTTCCGCTCACCTTACCGCTAACTCGCTGTGGAGCACCTGAAGGAGCGACACAGGGGTTACAGCAACAACAACAAAAAACAACTTAAGCATTTGAAGAAAAGATAATGCGATTAATGCATCTCTGTGGGTCAATGGCAGCGCTCTAACCTTCGGGTAGACAGTAGCGTCCATTGCCGTAGGAGCCAGGCCGGCAGTGACAGCAGAACCCCGTGGCGTAGTCGGAGCAAAATGCATTCTGGGAGCACTGCTGTTGGAATCTAGAACGACAAGAGAGAGCGAAGAAAAACACGTTTAATGCTGAAAAAAACAAAAAGGATTTCTTTGCCTACATCACCCACAATGCAATCTGACCTCTGTCAGTACAACAACTACTACAAATAGTTAGACACATCAGCAACAACAGGTACAGTATACAGTATATCATGCTCACTAGTCGTCACATACCTGGCGCATGTTTCCTTATTCTCCGTGGTGTACTGAATCACTGAGAGAGAGAGAATAAGTATTGATATGCGTTACATATACAATACTTATATCATTTATATCCCGCAGTCTCCTATCCAAGATCCTAGGGAAAATGGCAACAGGACAAAACAGAGAAAGCTGTACGTGCAGACCACCGGTACTGTTGTTTGCAATGTTCAGAAGAAAGATGTTGGTTAGCTTAGCTTGAACGGAAGATAAATTTCTTCTGTTCCCAGTATTTACGTCATGCAGACGTGAATGTTTAAATGGAGACGGAACATTTAAGGGTTGTTTCCATATAAGTACAGATGGACAGAACAAATAAAAAGACAGAGGAGGGTATACACACACACATGTTGAGGCACTACTTGGAGAGAAACCAGCTGTTGCAGTCCTGTCTCCCACACCCACTAATCCACTCACTCACACACACACACACACACACACACACACACACACACACACACACACACACACACACACACACACACACACAGATTCACTGTTTGCTACATGAACTCCCAAAGGCATCTAAGGCTACATCTACACTATTATGTTACTATTATGTGCAACACTTCTCTACTCCGCCCCACCGTTGTTGTCCCAACCCCTAACATGGACACTTAACAAACTCTGCTGACCGTTTTAGTTTCAAAAACTTTCGGGAGTTACGTTGAGTCTGGACGGCAGAAACGGAGACTTTTGAAAGCATTGATGCAGACACCCACGCTTGCTTCCTGATTGGCTCTCAGCAGTTGCGGCGTGTCCTTTCCCTGATTCGTCCCGCCCCGCACCAGCAAACAGTATTTGTACTTCATACAAGTGTTATACGTGTTACATGCGCTAATCTAAACACCGAGAGTAATATATTAAAGCAACTACTACTAAAACTTGAAGGATTTCTAAACCTCTCACTGGATTAAAAACACCAAATGGAACTTGCGTAACTCCCAAATCTCTCTCTCTCCTTGTTTATCTCTCCATTTCTCTTTTTGGTAAATGGCTGAGGTGGGATCGTTTTTAGCATTCTGTCATCCTACTGGGGCATCACACACAAACACACAAACAAACGCACATTCAGATGGACACAGGATGTCAGGATATTTTCTCAGGAACCGCACACACACACACACACACACACACACACACACACACACACAGTAGACAAATCACTGTGCTTTTCCACACGTAAACACACATACTGTGGAGGGAAACACACATAGGAATATCGCAATGATGTTTATGCTCTGAGTCTGAGTTTCAAGAACATCAAACCCATGACAGCACTGAGAGAATGTAAGTGTGTGTATTTAATGGATTTTGTTTGTTTAAAACAGGATATGAGAACTGTTTTAAATACTAAATGAAGGCCTTATTCCAAAAATACTCAATCTGTTCACAGATCTTTCTTTGCATTTTCCAAGAAATAAATGTATTTCCTCACTCCAAACTGAGTTAAATGACTTAATAAGATGGGCTTTTCGACCCTTATGTAACCTGGCAAGTTGACTGAGAACACATTCTTGTTTACGGCTCAAAGCCTGTGGTAGTAGTTGCAGGGGAGGGAGCGTTTGACACACACACACCTGGGAGCTGCCCAGCACAACGGCAGTATTGTACTACCAGCTGCTGAGCAGCTCCGCGTGCAGAGGGCAAGGTAATGCTACCCTCCAGTTTCTTAAAGTGGCCGTCCTTTCATAACTTAAGCAGACAACTTCATATATATATTCATATTTATACATTTATCTCCTACCTCCTGTGTCAAAATCAATGTCTTCGTCCACGCTGACCACGTGACCTCCAGGGGAAAGACGTGGTTCATTCCTGTGAGGGGGGTAGACATCCACCACCTCCAGAGGAACCTACAGGAGGAACAGGCTGTGTTTAACTGGAAATATATTTTTCCTGTTGTCATACTTTTTAACTCTCTCCAGATGCTACAAACCAGACCGCTATAATCAGCGCATACTGTACATTTTGTGTACAGTATGTAGGGTATAATGATTGCAGTTTTGCCAGCGTTTTGTTGACACCACCGCGCTGTCTCCAAAAGAGCGTTCCCTTGTAAACCACAGAATTTACAAAAAGCGACTACAATTTCAAATTATCATGACAAAACTCTGACAGTACTGACAGCACTGCCAATTTAAATTCCTATGTTTTTTGTTCATACCCGCTTCAATAAGTGATATTTTCTGAGAATTGGAATAGTCTGCCACTCAGCGCTGCTGTCTGCATGAGCAATATCGGGAACTCTCGTCCCATAACACATCATTATGGTCTATCGGCTTTGCATATGTTTGTAGTTTTTGATTTTTTTTAAACTGCATACTAAATGGCAGTAAAAAACACGTCCATCTTAAAATGTTTGCTCGTCGGATTTCTTGCTGAAGATGTTAATTAATTTCATGTGCAACGACGCTTTAGTGTTACCTGTGGTTGCTGTTCCTGAGTCTGCTGAGCACCTCCCTCTGGAGGATTAGGGGGAGCATACTGCCTCTCTGCTGGCTCGGAGTTGTACCTGGGTTCAGAGGTCAATGGCACATCTTTGCTGCCATACGCCACCTGATATCCGGAATCCTCCGAAGGGGACGAGGGAGCATCAGGACTTGCTGGTTGAAGTGATTCTGAGTGGTCAGCGCCAGCGGGGGCCGTCTGGAATTCGGGGTCCCCGCCTGTCAGAGGGTAATCGTCTTCTTCCTCCTGGTTATCAGGGTCGAAAGTGTTGTCCGGGTAGTCCTCAAACTCACCATACTCGGCTGTGGTGGTGTCCTAGAAGCAGAAACCATGGAGGGGTCAGAGGAGTTTTTCTGCAAACAACTCTTGACAGTAAATAAAATGCATTAAACAGAAAGATATATCACCAGGGAGAGGCCATGTCCTCGAGTTGGTGGGGTAACAAGGAGGCCACCAATGGATGCAGGAACAATGTTGTCGAAGGAGTAACTGTTCCCAGTGTGGAAAAGCCAAACACCTGGAATTCCTGTATTACCAACCCTAGAGAGCGAGTGACATGAATTATTTTCAGGTTCAAAGACCACCCTGCACATTACAGGGAATTAGCTCAGAGACGAATGTGAAAAGCTTTTTTTGGTCTAAGTTAGCACGTCTTATCTGGGATAGTGTTGGCTTCTCAACACGTTTGCCAGATGTGGCTTTAAGAAGAGTTGTGACTCAACCTTGAGGTTTTTTACTTACTGGTAGAGGTTTTTAACACTCTGCTCATCGCTGGTAACGCTGTAGTGAGGTCCCTCGGTTCGGGACAAGATCAGATACGTGATTTCTCCTCTGCTAAAGCCAACTCTAGCAGGGAGCTCTATCTCAACATTATAAGACTCCTATAAGCAGAAAATTGCATAAACATTAATGCAATGTAACAGTAACATTAATGTCTACAAGTGCTGCAGCGGTAAAATAGCCAAGCTAATCAAGCTGTGACTTAAGGTCTTGTATGTCTAACCAGGTTACCTTAGGGCGTGTCCCAAAGAAGTTAAGGCCACCTTCAGGGTAGAGGAAGAGAACGTATGAATCCGTCTCATCGTAACCAATTACTGCCTGGAACGTATTGACCTAAAGAGAGACAAGAGAGACCATCAGTCTGAACCAGAATAACAACAGGGACAATTACATCTTTCAAAGGACCAGAGTGTAGGCTTTAGTAGCATCTAGCGGTGAGGGTGCAGATTGCAACCAAATACCCCTCCAGTCACTCCTCCTGTTCCAAGTATATCCGAGATCTTTGATGGCCTTCAAGTAACACAAGAAATGCGAGAGGCCCTCTCTAAAGTCAGTGTTTAGTTTGTCCGTTTCGGGGCAACTGTGGAAACATGGCGGTGCAACACGGTGGACTCTCGGAAGAGGACCCTCCAAGTAGGTCTATCTGCGGAAGCATTGTACTACATTGAACCACTATCCTGTAATTGCCACTTGTTGCCATCAGTGGCCGCTGTTACAGTCTTAATTTAATCTCTAATTATTCTGTAACTATCGTAATACGTGGGTTACACCTATAACCCCTGTTCTCCTAGATAAATCTCAGCATTCCATTATTATTTTTTGACCCTGACGGCCAAAAGCAGCTTACTGGTAATCAAGATAGTGTCTAACAATCATGTTGAGCTCCTGCCACTGTCAGAGGGATGAGGTCACCTCCTGCGTGTTCAGAGTCAGCCCGGCCCAACCGCCCTCAAGTCATTCTAACACTCACTGCTCATATTTAAACTTCACACCTCTCCTTGGACCTCCTCTGTCCTCCCCTCCCCTCCTCCCCGTGTCTCCTCCTGTTCCTCTGCTGGAATTCTTGTTGAGACTTCTCACCCTTCACACCCCCCCTCCTCTTTTCGACCACCGCCAATTACTGACGTACTGAGCATCTGGGTTTCCAAACATCTATTTTGCAAATAATCAGAATCAAATAAATGAATTGAGTAAGTACGAACTGATGAATCAGGGACCAGTGGAGTCGCGCTCTGCCTCCCAAAACCGCAGTTGGAAAAACACAGATTTGTCGAATGAGGGGAAGACTGAGAGTTGTTTCCCTTTGGGACACAATCAGATTATCGGAACGCACACGCACGCACACACACACACACACACACACACACACAGACCAAGACATCTACACACACACACACACGTTGGTCTCTCAACCCCCAGCCCAGATGTTGATCTCCACAGCTGTCTTCCTGTGTGTCTGGGCATCTTTCGCGATGATGTTACAACACGCAAACCAGACGTCGTTACAATGTGAGGCGTGGGGGTGCACACACACACACACACAGACACACAAACACTCATATACATTTATACAAGCCTTAACGCAAACACAGATGTCCCACCACCTATATTCCTCCCATGTGAATGTATGTGTGTGTTCCTAATTGTTTACATCAACATCTTTAAACTATCTTGTTGTTTGTGGGCGGGGAGGACTTTGTAGCCTCCGGGCTCTTTGTAATTACTGAGGAAGGGGTCTTTCTTTTTTCCTTTGGGAGGAGAAGAGGCTGGAGCTACAAGAGGGGATCTGCTTCTTCTTTGTCCTTAATATCCCTTCTAAAATGTCTGTATTTTTCTCTCCTGTTGTTCCTCCTTTTTCCTGGGAGGAGGAGGCGAGGGGTGAGGGATGAAAGTATGCAGGGGGGGTTTGGCAGAGATGGGAGAGGGGCCATATGAGGAGACAGAAATTAAGATGTGTTTCCATCCAAATAGTTCTGAAAAGTTGAGTCTTTATTTTACCCTGTCCACACATAACATGGAAAGTCCCTTTGGTGTTTTTAGTGGCTGTATATCTACGCTATCTCAACAATAAGTAAATAAATTGTCATGAATTTCGTTTTTTCAGACATTCATGGTCCCCAGAGGATGGATCCTGCTGCCTTTGGTAATCCCCTTTTTCCTATCTAGCATACAGAGACATGAGAGTGGTATCAATGCTCTCATCTAACTCTTGGCAGAGGAACAAAATGAGCACATTTCCCCCCAAGACGCCAGACTATTCCTTTAATTTGCGCTGCGCTCTCCGTCCCTCCTCTATCTGTGTGGTCATTCGCTGCGTCGGAGTCTGTCTCTGTGTTGTACCGTCGTGCTTTACAGACTCACAGCTGGAAGACAACAAATAGCAGCCAGCACACATCAAAGACCTCCAGACAGCGCATAGCTCAGGATGCATCCCCCCCCCCACATCTAACCTACAGGCATTTTGCTACACCTTTTTTAAAAGACTGTCCTCACACTCCTAACATTGACCACAAACACGTTAATTGTCTCCGGGACGCGGCAAATGTTTGTTGTCGGAGTCGTCCTTGAAGGTTTAGGTGGTAACATCATCAGTGTGGCTCTGGAAATACCCAACAGCTTAACCGCATGTACAGGGAGTCCATTCAGATAGTTGAGGAGCAACTTACCACACTTCATACGTTCACATTCCAAGGTTTCAAAGTCAATTTTCACATTTTCATTTCAGCGTGGCATCGATCTTCTCATCTACTGAGCGTAAAAATGCATAGTATTCCTTTAAAGTAGGCCTCGTGTTGTTTGCGGGTTTCGAATTAATGGTAGCTTTTGCGATCGCCCGACACTTTGGCGTAGATTTACAAACTCTAAGGTCAACATTTCATATTTTAGCAAACTAAACAAAGTTCAGGCTTTTGCAGAAAAGCGGGCGAACCTCTTAAGTTGACGTTCAGTCTAGTCTCACCATGTTTTACCTTCGTTTGGTCGTGTTCAGTATTTGTGTATTCGGCAGTCTGGTTTACTTTAAATAGTTTAGTCTACTCTGCTTTCCTAAAGATAGTTTAATTGACTCGCCTGTGTTTCGAATAAGTGACTCATCCCTCTGTGACAAATGTTCTGAATCATATTATAAGTATCTGGAGCTGAGTCCCACTTTGTTGAGGCTGGATGAACGTACTACACTTGTTTGTTGGTTGCGGCGCAGCTGCAAACCGGCAGAAAGAGAGAGAGAGAGAGAGAGAGAGAGAGAGAGCGAGAGAGAGAGAAAGCAGCTGCAGGCCAGTTGCCAGCCTCACCGGAGTGCTACAAGCGGAACTGCCTACAGCGTGGGAACTGGCACACACACACACACACACACTCACACACACACAGCCCAGGCCCACGGCCAGGAACAGTCCGGTCAGTATTTCACCGTTGTCATATGAAAATCCCCGCCCCAAACTTTTAGGTGGCTTTCCTGTTATAACTTCAGCCGTGCCTCAAAAGGATTCCCTGCTCTGAATTGAGCTTGAGGAAATCGAACAACGTCTTGGCGTACGGAAGCTTTTCAAAAAGCCTTTTTCATCAACTCAAGAACACATGGTGGGTTAAAACCATCGCTGCTTTTCTTAGATCCTGAAAGGAACATGAACATGTACGTCCTCCCCGCAACTACAAACCAGAGCGCTGCGACTGTGCTAGTAATTATTCTCAGGACTGTGTCCAAGTTAAACTTGTGTACGCTGAGTCACTTCAGTATTTTATTATGGAGGAGCTGCACAGCTAGAAGGGGATATGAACCCCTTTCTTTCGACTACAGAGAGGTTCAGTGCTCACTCATAAACAGAGTAATATATTATGAAAGCTGAATTTCAAGGGATGCGCCCTGTGTCACTGCATGGGGTCCCCAAGAAACAACAAATAGCACTAATAGAAACAATGGTTCCTATTGTGCTACAGAAAGGAAGAAAGACAAAGAGAAGAGGAGAGGAGAGGAAATAAAATAAAAGGCGAGGGCCGAACCCAACAGAGGAGTCCATTTATTCAGCCTCATCTGAGCCTCACACAGCTGACATGTAACATGCCGTTCAGCACTTTCCCTTTTTTTTTTTTGCACATATGTCTTTTGAAGAGAACTCGAGGGGAAATCAGGAAAAAAAATGGTCTGCTGTGGTCAAATGTTAAAATCACATTCCATTTGAAAGTGCTGCTCATATACAAGAATGCTCTCAGGAAGGGAACTTCCTGTAAAGCGGGCCTTTTCCCCTTCAAACGTCATTAAGGCACGCGCACATTATTCAAGTCAAGATTTAGAGATTCATATGAGAAGATGGGTGTTATGTATTTTCTAATTGAGTAACTTACTCGCTGTATCATATTTTAACAACACTCAGAGTCTACGGTCGAGCTAACTGCTAAAGTCACGTCAACATGCTAACACGTTCAAATTGATATTGACTTTGATGTTTAGCAGGTATAATTCTTATCAGGTTCACCTACTAGTTTAGTGTAGCTGATGGAAATGTTAGTCGTTTTCCAAGTATTAGTTTTAGTATTAGCAGACAAATCAGTGTTCGTATCAACCATAGTAATACAACGTGAGTAGAATGGACGTTCCCATTCAAAGCGTTGTAGCATTATGGTCAGAGCGGCAGCCATTTTTATATGTACTTTTGCCATTGCGACTGTTGTAGCGAGCTAACTTCTGTATAAACTAAACCGACTGACGACAAGTCGCGGACAATGGCGTTAGCATGTTAGCTGGCTTATGACCGGCTAACTAGCGGACAACTGGCTAGTTAGCTAGCTTGCTACTTCCACCGTGTTTTAATGCCACATCGCGTACAGAAAATGAGCCCAACAGGAGTGAACACATTTGAGAAGGGCTTGAACGTTAATTAATGGATGTTCATATGTATGTAAAAGTTCCTTCAGCTTCAACTGATGAAGAGGAACATGCAGCGCTCTGCCGCTACGCCGTTGATCTCTGCCGCTTAGAATTATAAGACAAACTGTGTCACGGCGTCCACCAGCATGACAGGTGTCCCCGCGTGAAGACGGATTGGCAATGTGCCGCTCAAAGTAAAGCCTTGTCGACGCTTCTTAAAACATCAACACACGGAAGGCCAGATTCTCCGTGTAAATGGCTCCGGTCATTTGCAAATTGGGCGACATGGTAGCGCACACAACAGAGTGTGTGTTGTTGGTTTCGTGAGAAGCAATTACTTTCCAATTATGATAATAACCTCTTTAAGACTCATTTCATAGAAAACACAACCCTACTTCTTAGGGATGTGAACTCACCTCTATTTTTCCTGTTTTTCCTTCCCTCGCTGCTCCTCTCGTCTCCCTTTCCGACCCCCAAACACCACGAGGCCTGCCCCCTCCCCCACCCGGTCACCCCCTAATACACACCTCAGGTTAATCAGTTCGCACACACATACCACTCTACCCCCGCCCAACGCACCCCGCCCGGCACCTCTGGCTAATCAGTTCCAAGGAAGATGCTATCTTGACCCACTGAAGCAAATGCCAGCCCAGACTTTTCCGATCCGACAAGCCACACAGACCCTTTAAACAACACGGACCCTTTCTTTACACCCTCAAGAGGTGGACACCAGCCTCTAATCAGCATTTGGTCAACACTGCATGGAGACTTAAATCCAAGTTTCACTCATTCGTCCATTTAGCAGCGCTGCGATCAAAATGAGCCCCTAGGTATTGAGACGCGTCGTCAGAGGCTTAATGCTGCCTCTCCCTGATGGACTATTTGAATGTTTCGCTTTTGATCAATCAGGAGGAAAGAAGGAGGAGGCATTAAAAGAAACCAGACCGCGACAGTCAAGAGAAAGAACAAACAGATGAGAGGGAGGGAGAGACACACAGAGATCACCCGGGGTTTTTTGTCCTTAAATCTACCACTCCCTCCATCCCTCCCTCCCACATGCTGGGAGGGAGGAACAACAAAGCACTTTTTTTTTGTTTGTTTGATCGATAAGTTCAGCCGGCCTGGCTTTACTTGGAGTCCGTCCCAAATACGAACTCAAACAAAGCCTTTAGTTCTCCTCTAGGTGACACTTTCTTTTAAGAAGGTGCACAATTCCTGAGGACAGTTTCTAGAAATTTAGTATTAATCATAAAGACAATAGAGAAAGTGTTTGATTGGACATTTTAGGCTCAGTTTATTCGTTGAGTGCTACTCAGGTCTTCTGCTTCTTTGGAGGGAGCTTTCCTAACCCTGATGACATCATTATGACGTCATCAGGGTTAGCCAAGCTTGGCCTTGGACTGTATTTGGTAACGTCTGCATTATAAGTGCAAAACTGGAGAGATGTGTGCATTTCGGCGGTAAGGAGGGTCTAATGCAAGACGCTTTTTAATTGCATTATGGGAAATGTAGGATCCAGTGTTTTTGAAGCTTGTCTCCTGCTTTAACTTTAATCTTTCCATTGTGAAACACCCAACTTTATGGAAGTGCCTGAAGTAACCCTTTTTAATTATTCGATGAATGACCTAAAGCACAGTATCTCTGTGTATCTTTAATGTTGAACCAAGTTTTAAACTGGTAACTGGCTGACAAACAGGGAGGGAAGTAAAGTCCAAGGGAGCATGAGAGCACTAATGGTGGAGGCGTGTTCGTGTCTACCCGTGTGAGAGGGGATAACGAGTCGGGAGAGGAGGAGGGGGGCACTTTGATGACCCTTAAAGATGACCTCTGACCCCTTGAAAAGGTTAAGAGGCAGATTAGGAGGGGAAGGGGATTTACAAATAGAGCCCAGCCCCACCCCGGGCTGATTACAAGGGATGCGCATCCTCCAGGAATTTGGGATTGTGTCTCTCGCGTCACGAGATCCAAAACATACCGAGAGGATGATAAATCATCGTGCAGACAAGACAGCGAGGCCTCCAGCTAGCGCTCTCAGTCCCCTCCACCCGTCTTACCTTGTTCGAAGGTCCGGCGGTTCGAGTCTGCTCCTCATATGCCGCGACGTTCTCCCACGTTGCGACCACGACGTGCGTGGGCGTGAATTTTGCATCCGGGAACCCTCGGTGTACTTCCTGGGTGAGCAGATGGATGAATGAATGAATGATGAGGGGGGTAAGAAGGAGAAAGTAAAGGAAAGATGGAGTGTACAATGGATTGAACTAATGGATGAAGAACTGGAAAAAGGAAGAATCCAGATCTGTAGTTAAGCACAGTGCAACACGTATTCATCAAGCTTTTTCTTCCTCATTTCAACACAACAAAAGTCTGTCGATTAACATTCCCTTCACTTGTTTCAGTGGAGCCACATACCCGGGACACTCGGTTGAGAACGCTGGGCGTCTCCGTCACCCGGTAGTAGATCTGTCCTCGCCCTCCGCTGGTGTCGATGTCGGCCAGAAACGGAGCCACCACGGGGAAATCTGTGGGGAAGCCGTCGTCGACGTACTGCTTTTCCATCGGCAGGTCCTGGGCTGAGATGATGCCGTTAGTGGCCACCTGGAGGCAGAGAGAGAGAGAGAGAGAGAGGCGCTGTTTAATGAGAGCTACTGATGATGCTCCTGCAGACCGCTTGGGACCCCAAAACCCTAAAGTTCCTCTCAATAATTGCTGCAGCACCATCATGAACCCACGGAACTGTCTAATGAGCCCGTATCCCCTCATAAACCACGGGGACCTCCGTGGGCACTGCCGGAGCCCCCTGATGGACCCCAGGAACCACATAATGAACCCCCTAGATCCCCCTCATAAACCGCTAGAACCTCCTCAAGGACCTCTGGGCCTGATGATGTGTGCCGTGCAAAGCAACACTGCGGTTTATGTCTTTTTTTTGAGGATATCTAATCAGTCCTGGAGTGGAGCCAAGTACATTTTCTGTATTCATTTTGAGGTGCTTGTACTTTATTTGCGTATTGCCATATACTGCTGTGTAGCTTAAACCCGGTCTCTCCCAAACACTGGGTCGGGGACCCCTCAGGTGGGTCGCGGGACATTTTCTTTTGGGTCGCATAGATGAATTTGGAGAACTTCTTCCAATCAATCTTTTATTTAATTAACGTTTATATCTGCAGCTCGCTTTTGAGCAACACGAGGGAGCCTGAATGTTCGCATCGTTCTGATAGTCGTAGCCTAACGTTGAATGTTAATATGAAAAGCGAGCGTACATTCTGTTTGTTTAACTGATGAGAGGAAAGGAAAAGCCTGTTAACATGACATCATCGTGTTTTAAGTTGATTATATTTTAGTACTTTGAGTCTGCAAAGTAACGAGTAACTGACTACATCTCTCTCTGGGATGTAGCTAGTGGAGTACAAGTATTAAAGTACCTCAAAAATGTACTTAAGTGAAGTTGTGAAGTGAAGGCCATTACACATAATGAGGACTTTTTATTTTACTTAGGCAACTTTGAAAGCTGCAGTACTTTTACTTGTAATGGAGTAATGTTACAGTGAAGTATTGCTACTTTTCTCCCACCGCCATGAGCACAAGTTATTCTTAATCACCATCTGTTGAGTAGCAGTGGATTTGTAATTGATGGTGACGTCAGAATATGGCCAGATATATACATATATACAGATGATTCCCCCATTCACGCTCGTTAATAAAACGCTTCATTTGGCAGCATTAAACACCCTGTTCTACTGTGGATCAACAGCTGCAAACATCACCTGCAGTTAACTCTCTCCTTCTGCGATAAAGACAACACGCGCACGCGGTGCTAACGGGCGTCTACTCACGTATAGCTGGGAGTACCGGGAGTCGTAGAAGTTCAAGGGTCTGGGCAGGAGCAGCACTCTGGAGGTCTCATCGTCCCCCTCCGCCAGGATCAGATCCCCGCTCAGGGCGCCGTACGGGAACATATCGGCCCTCCGGATGGCGGACACCACGCACACGCCGCAGCTCCAGCACAGCAGACACGCAGCCAGCATTGACCCTCTCTCCATCGTGGAGCCGGGGCCGATCAGAGCAGCAGCTGGGAGCAGAAGGAGCGGAGGTACAGATGGGCTCGGGGAGCAGGGCAGCGAGAAAGACGGGGAAACTCTCCTCCTCCTTCTCCTCTCCAGTCTGATGCTCTGCGGGGAGGAGGGAGAGGGGGGGGGCGCTGTGATTGGTCGGAGGCGGGCTAAGAGTGACAGCAGGGCCGGTGCTGGAGGTAACATCTGGCTCGCGTTAGAGAGAAGACAAATAGAGCGTTTTTTTAATCCGGATGTAACTCTATCTGTTTCACAACAATGTAAAGGAGACATCGTGTTATTTTTACACACGCACACGCACACATACATACACGCACACGCACGTGAGAATTCTATTGAAACATATTGAACAGAAGTGAAAACGGGAACAACTAGGGTCTTATTTCTTTAAAAAACAAACAATACACAAACTTAATTATAACTTATTCCCTTAAGATTAATATATGTGTGTTGGAATTTTAGAAGGTGAAAGGCATTTAAAAAATATATTATTAGCACTAATTATATTTTATTTCCAACTATTTTTCCAGTTGAATGCATTTTAATCAATCACACAATTTACATGACACAGTTATTCTTATTCTTGTTTTATTTTACTACGTTACTCATTAAGGCAACCTGGCTGCGACCTTAATAAATTGAACTTGTGCGCCACCTTGTGTCTGCAACAGCATACGGCAGTGGAAAGCATGTACTGCTACTCCACCTCATATTTAAAACTAAAGCTGAAAGTCCATCAGTTAAAAAAGAATAATAATCGACAACCACATAATAATTTATGTCATTCTTTAATTCATTATTACCCTTTTTTTACCTCTTCATTGATTTCTCTCATCCTCAGACATACCTTCACATTCCTCTGGTCGTAGCTATTCACACATGACATGAACACACACAATACTAATTAAAACAAACACCTGTTTACACACACACATATATATACATATATATATATATATACTGTATGTATATGTGTTTATAAACCTCAGGAAGACCAACAGAGGAGGGATCCCTCTCTTAGGAGGGACAGACACATGAAGTATGTGTACAAAATAGAGAACACTAAAATTAGAAAATGGAAAATCAGGATGACAATATTTGTAGATGGATAAATGAAGAATATAATCAGGGAGGACACCTTCCGAAACAGGAAGGTCCCGAGCCTCACGACCTCGCCTCCACCTGGAACAAGAACAGATACACAAACACACAACGGGAGCACACATTTCTAAGGCTCAGGCTCCTGGACCAGATCCAGGACCTCTGGGAGGAGGCCCCGAGGACGGCCGCTGGTCCAACACGGAAAGGACTCTTCAGAGGACAAGAGAAGAAAACCATTAAGTACATTCAGTGAGCTGTGTACAACAGGACACCTCAAGTGGAAGGAGTTGGTCCGGCTATGGCAACGGTCCAGTCGAGCACGTGTTTCACCTGCTGCAGACCAGACTGAGGGCAAAAAGCCCAGAGCGTTTTAGTACAGGACTGGACGAGCAATAAATCACATCACCTAGGAATCTGATTTAAAATCCTACACACTCTGCAAACTACATGTTACAGTGGTACCACCGTATATTACTTCATTCAAAATAACATTATTCTTTGGGCTTTCAATAAAAACATAAGGTTTTGCCTTGTCTACATGTTGTATTGATGCATCCAGGACTCACCTTTTGGTAACCAAACAAAATTCTCTGTAGTTTGTGATTGATCAGATGCTTGTACTAACCCAGAGCAACCAATAGGTGGAGGCAAAGGTCAGGCTGACGTCTTTAACGATAAAGACTTTACTTTGCTCAGTCTGGGAAAACTCGACTGTGTGTTTTACTTTGTGTGTGAAAACCGTTAAACTGTCTTTTGTCCACCACGTTATAAATGATCACATCAGCCAAAGCGCCCTCGAGTAATCTGATCACTGAAAAAACACAGCGTATAAAATACACAATTGATCGCGTTTCCCTTGAAAAGTTGAATCATCTGATCTGATCAGATCATGCCACTCTGTAATTACAGACTGCTGACATCAGATATTCACCAAAAATCAATGAAGTCATCAATGATTCAGACGAGGACCATTAGTAGGCTGGACACACACACACACACACACACACGTATTCTGTTGACAGGAGTGATGAAGCCTCACTGTGTGGTTCTGTGTGTGTGTGTGTGTGTGTGTGTGTGTGTGTGTGTGTGTGTGTGTGTGGATGGGAGCGAGGCAGACAGACAGACACTAACAATACATGCAGCACGTGTCAGCACTTTAGCGCATGCCGAGCCCTCCACAAAGGCTGTTTACCAGCACAGCAGGCCATCGGAGTTAAGGGTTCATTAATGATTGAATTGCTTCCAAATAAAGAACGTAGACAGACAACGCCTCTTAAGATGCCCACCACAGTAAACTCTATCATCGTCTGGATCAAGAGCCCCTCAAGGGACCTCAAGGGATCCCCTCCGTATGAATAAGTATGTTTCAAAAATCTGGATTCTCAGCAGATTTCTGGATGTAAATTATGGAAACACTTGCTGTCTGACATTGTTTTGGTAGGTAAGGAAAGGAAAATAGAAGGAAAAAAGATAATGAAAAGCAAGGTAAGGATATAAAAGAAAAGGGAAGAGAGTTGAAGCAAGGAAGGGGAAAGGAAAGAAAACTTAAGGAAATTTAAGGAAATTAAAGGAAAGGAAAAAAGGGAAGGAAAAGAAAGGAAATGACAAGGAATAGAAGAAAGCGAAAGGGAAGCAAGTGAGAGGAAATGAGAGGAAAGGAAAGGAGAGAAGAAGAGAGGAAAGGAAAGGAAAGGAAAAGAAAGAAAATTACAAGAAATGAAAGCAAATGACAAGAAATTAAAAAAGGGAAGTGAAGCAAGCGAGAGGAAATTAAAGAAAAATAAAAGGAAATTAGAGGAAAATATAATAAATGACAAATAATAAAAGAAAAGGAAAAGGAATGGAAGCAAGAAAGACAAAATAGAGGAAAGAAATAAAAAGAAAAGCCCGAAATGACAGAAAAGGAAAAGAAAGAAAAAGCAAAGGAAAGGAGAAGAAAGTAAGGCAAGAGAGAGGAAAGGTATTTTGGCGGCAGCGAGGGCAGAGGGCAAGGTGAGAGAGGCCCTCTGCTGCGTGAGGAAACAAATATAGAGCCGGAGTAAAAGGAGACAAGTGAACGGAGAGACTGACCTACAGCCACAAAGAGAGAGAAAGAGAAGCAGCAGGAAGACAGAGATGAAAAGAGGTAGAGAGGGAGGAAGGAGGTAGCAGGATTCCTGTGCATGAATTACTGTGTGGCCTGCTGATGCCATAAATCATATACTTCATCAACATTAACATGTCTGAGGTCCTTCCGGACGGAGGAGGGACAGAAGTGTGGGCCGGAGGAGAGAGAGACGGAGAGAGACAGAGAGAGGAAGCAGCCACGGCATAATGGAAAAATGTCACAATTAAGACCTCGTTAATGGGCCTGAATAAAAGGCACTCAAATGCTTTCAGCGGCCCATTCCAGATCCTGTTTGCCGTTCATTCCACTTTTTTAAAATGGGTGAAATGGTGCAATTACAATGTCGCGTTAATGGACGACGGGGATTTTTGAAAAGCCGTTTCGCTAAAAACGAGCAGATGTTGCATCATGCCTTTATGGTCGATCCTCACTGGACAAAATCATCCGTCTCCACCTACACTGTGTAGAAAATATGAAAGATATGTTACGGGTCCACAGATAGAAAAACAGACAGTCACATTGGTCCCGATGGGAAATTCAGGCCTCAAATCCATGTGACTGTGGGAGGAAACCCAAGAGGACAACATGCAATATCCACACATAAAGACACACAGCAAAGCAAACACGGGACACTATGAATGGTACATTCGTGTGTGTTGGGGGGGGGGGGGGCTCACATGTCCAACCAACACAGCAGGTTACACGATGTTCTCCAAACAGGCCAGGACATCTGCATATTCATCTGGGAGACAGTCTTCCCTGTTGATTTAGAGAAACATCAATTCAGGGACTGAAAAACTATTTTGTTTTTGCTGCCTACTTCAAAAAAACGTATCAAAACAATTTGATGACACCTCCCTGGGATCCGGGACCATTTTCACTATTTTCTGACATTCTGTCGACTAAATCAGAATTCACTTTTTATTTATTCATCTATTTATTATTTTGCCAGGGATAACACATACAGGCATTGTTATATTGAAAAAGAGAGCAATCGAAATAATGTAAATATTTAGATGTGGGTATGTTCCCTAACTTATGTAAACAGTAAGTGTATAATGTGTGTGTGTGCAAATTATTAAAAATACATTTTTAAGTGACCAGTAGTCTTCAAAGCCATGTGTCACCAAATTATTTAAATTAGGAAATTATTCAATATTTATGAAATTGCAAGGGTTTACATATGATTTATTTTGGCATTTTTCAACTCAACAGTGGCTCGCAGCCTCTCAGCTGTCTGTGTGCACGAGGTGGGTGTTCCCGTTCCGTGTGACGTCACCGACTCGTTCCCTGTACCCCGAGCCCATTCATCCCTACCTCCTCACAGTTCCGCGCGCCTCGCCCTCTCCGCACCTCACCCTTTTAGTTTGTTTTTAAAAACCAGAGCGGCTTTACACCGGGACGCACTTCTCTCCTGCGTGACTGTAAAAACACGGACGTCTTCAGGCCGCGGGGAGCAAGTCGTGAAGTAGGTGAGAACTTCTTTATTTCGGATGCGTTTCACCGCTTTGAAGCCCACGCGAGGGGTGACAGTAGTTGCCTCGCGCTTCAGGCAAAACTTCGTTTAGAAAAGACGCAAGGGAAAACTTTCCTTTCTGACTGAAAAACGCTCGAGCGCTCAAAGCTGGAATTAAGTCATTATTTAAGTATGTAGTCGATCTTTAATTCGGCACAAATTGTTTCTTTTTTTCAAAATAAAATCCAACGTTGACAACCAGTTACTTCGCGTGTTGTGTTGCTGTAGACAACAGAGACACTACTTCTCACTCAACTCCTTTGCCCCACATGTCTGATTTTACAGTATTGCCCAGCTGACATCGCGACTGACGCACAATCAACACAACCGGCCCCATCTGTCAGGGCTCTACTTCCCGTCTTTATCACAGTTGTTACTGTCTTCTTTTAAAAACACGCTGTTTCTTTGACTGATTCAGTGACAATTGGCAACCCAGAACTTGAGCAGGCATCACCAGACACGTCGGGCTGAGCAAGTAGGTGAGTCACTTGATTGATCCACAACACACACACACACATCCGTTTAACCACCCGGCCTGTCAGCTGATATCTATTGACTGGTGAGACAGAAGAGGAAGAAACATTGGATTTCACAACTCACACTGGAGCATGCGGTTCAAGCCGTGGAATTTTTGAGTGCATGCAAAATGTTCCTTTTTAGGGGGGAGGGGGGTCTGTGTATGTGTGGGATCACTTAAGTTAGACAAAGACTTGCAAACATGGAATCAGAGTGGAAGCGTATAGTTGACATTGAGTCAAAACAGTCCGAGAGTGAGATTAGAAATCATTGGGGAACGTAAACAAACGCTGTTGCCAAAGCATCTTGTGTTTGATGGACAGACGGACCGGCTGTGGCAGATTTTCTTAGTAACTTTGGCAACTAAACGCTATGTACAAAATATCGAAAAAGCTGCTGATTGATCTGCAGTTGACCAACTGATAAATGACTGATTGCTACTGCTCTAAATCTGTTATTCTTCCTTCCTTTCTGTTTAACCAGGATGGCTGCAGACTACCTTTTAAGGACACTTTTTTGACTCTTTTTTTGGGGGGGAAACAAGGGACATCTTTTCTCATTCAAATCCCAGCCAGTTGTCATCCAAACGATGGACCCAATAAACTATACTCGGTGCCACATCCAGCACCACGTCGAAACCAGCAAGCCGTGGATCAGCGCCATCATGTTCGCCCTGGGCCTCTTCGGCAACGTGGCCGCCCTGGTGATCCTGGAAGTCCGGCGACGCAGAGCCATGAGGACTGCGAACATGTGGCGGCGCTCGCTGTTCCACGTCCTCATCACGGCGCTGGTGGTCACCGACCTGGCGGGCACCTGCCTGATCAGTCCGCTGGTGCAGTTGTCCTACTCGCTCAACCGCACCTTGGTGGGGATGACCCACCCTTCTCACAGCGTGTGCTCGTACTTCGGCATCAGCATGACCTTCTTCAGCCTGGCCACCATGACGCTGCTCTTCTCTATGGCGCTCGAGAGGTGCTTCGCCATTGGGTACCCCTACCTGTACAGCCGGCACGTCACCAAGAAATGCGCCTACATCTCCATCCCCGTGGTGTTTCTGCTGTGCATGCTGTTCTGTCTCCTCCCCTTCGCCGGGTTCGGCAAATACGTGCAATACTGCCCCGGGACATGGTGCTTCATCGACATGAACCCCATTGGGAAGGAGGACCGGGTCTACGCCAACCTGTACGCCACCCTCATGCTGGTGCTGGTGCTGGCCATCGTGGCGTGCAACGGGTTCGTGGTGTACCAGCTGTACAGGATGTACCGGCGGCGGCGGCGGAACGGCGGCTCGGTGATGGCGGCCGTAAAGCCCGGCGAGCGCAGGGCGACGTCCATGGCCGAGGAGGTGGAGCATCTCATCCTGCTGGTCTTCATGACCATCATCTTCTTCATCTGCACAATGCCCCTGGTGGTAAGGCGACGGCTGTTGACTCGCATGCTGTAGAAATGCACACTCGTGTATATATACTGTGTGTGTGTATATGCGGCCCGAGATGTAGACAGGTCTATAAAGACCACATGTTTATATATAGATATCATGCCAGTGCAGTGTGAAAGAACTTAGATCTTCGGACTTTTTAAAATAAGACAATCGGATATATATTCTGCTAATATCCTGTATTTTTCTCAAGAAAACTGCACGCTTATAAGGGAGTAAAGGGAGCCAGCTTATCATTAACAAGGATGACGCATGACTGTGAAGAATCCGGGGATTTGATCCGTTATGTCATCAGGATGCAATTTGGAGGGAGACCGTAATGAGAAGGTCTGTGTCACAAAGTGTAATTCTACACCAGCAACCTTTAAAGAAGCGCTGGCTGCAAACAGCCCAAAACATCATGAAGAGTTCCATGATGTTATTTCCATGGCTTAAGATAGTTCGATCAATATTAGTGGACGTGAGTTACTCTCTCTCTCAAAACCAGAAACCTGAGAAGTGAGTCTCAAACTTGTGGTGTCATGAGGACTGAAGCAGAGGTCGATTGATGGATAGATGGATGAATAGAGGGATGGATGGATCAGCCATTCCGTCGTCTCAGTAAGACTCCTGGGCGAATAACAGTCCCGGCAGTATACGATGTTGTGCACGTTAACGCGGAGAGCTAAATGAAAAGTGCCATCTCGTGCGCTGTGGCTGGAAATGCAGAGTCACAACCCTCACTTCTGCAACGATTGCCAAATTCTGCGCCGCAGTTAATTTGATTGCATCCAAACATCACAAACACAGACCACAGGCTCTTTAATGAGCTCTGTGTTGTCACTGCAGAGCCTCAACGCAGTCACACTTCTGCTGGTGTTGAAGTCACGTGGACTGCGTATATTATGACACTTAAAAACACGTGTGCAAGTATTTTTATTACATTTAAACCATCTACTAAGTCTGGATCACAGACAAAACCGATGACTCGGGTACAGTGAGGTTACACGAGGACAGACAGAAAGGAGGCGGCCAGGCACAAGAAGAAGAAGAGAGATTAAACAGATTAGGAACCAGAGCTTTCACAAGAAGTCGCCATAACGTTAATGTCAGCAGTACACTCATTCTTCTTACAGTGGGAGTCGTCAACACCGGTGCTCTCCGCTGATATTTCCACAGAATGGCCACATTAATGTATTGGCAGATGTCTCCATTTGTTGCCCTGCAGGAAGATGTAGAAAACCTTTCACCATATTTCACTCAAAGCGCACATTATGCGATTACGCTGAGGGGGGTTAATGGGGTCTGTTATTTTAAAGGAACATCCGCCCTAATGTTGCCGTTCCCTTTCTTTAGATCTAGATAACGGCAAAAATGTCTTCTCTGTTGATTGAAGTCATTTCATATTTTCAATGTTTAGCTGACAGTTTTGAAAGTCTAAAACGTCAATAAATGTAGATTGAAGCGGAACATTCCGTTAGACAAAAACATGTTGTGAATATTGAAAATGATTACATCTATCTTTTGGACTCTGGTGGTATTGGAACTGTTTGGACACACGAGTCGGAAACAATCCCACGCAGGAACCTACTTCTACAACTGCAATGCTACTAATGTTACTGCAGCCTGATCTTAATCTGCAACTGTGCAGGAATACCGGCTTTAAACACAATAAATAGACAAGCAAAAATCTGACAGGTGTATCAACAGTAACTAGCACGTTTGCCAAGGCTACACATTCAAGCATACTGAGATATGAATGAAATACATCATTTATGAGCCCTATAAACACTCATGGGTGTCCAGCCAGCAATGTGATACCACAGTCTGAGGTCACACACACACACACACACACACACGGAGATTATATTACATTTCTCTGCTGTGACTTCTGTGCGCCGGTTATCTGTGATTGCATTAAAAATGGAAAAGGTTAGACAATAGCCTTTTGGGACGGAAAAAGAGACGCATTGTCTGAGAGGTTGGCGTGGAGAAATGATAAACTAAAAACCCTGTCCCACCAATCCTGTCCATCATCAACAGATTCCAACAAGACGGGCCAAGAGTACTAGCCAATCAGAGGCAGGGGAGGGCGGGTCCTACCACCGCGCCGACCGTCATCTCGTTCCAAGTTAAACCTCCTGATTTCATGCACCTCTTCATGAGTTAACATGTGGGAACATACGAGCGTGCGTCTTTGAGAACAGGCTCCCACATCGTGGTGGACCTAATGAGTACCAGCCACATTAAGGGAGATTATCGCCTCTGACTCATGTTTGTGCTCTGCACACAATTGTAAATATGTTGTTTTTGGAAATGAAACTCAAGCATCAACCCCGGTTACAGATACTCCCCATCAACACTGTTTATTACGCTTCCTGTCGGCAGTGGGAGAGGAGAAGAAAATGGGCTCACAGTGTGAGCGGCTAAACAAAACAATCTGTCTACAGCCGCGCACTCACGATCCTTCGCCCCACTCTGTTTCTGTCCCACAAACTCGGCAAGACGTCGCAGTGATGATCTCTTGTGGTTTAGGGATCAGCGTGAAGCTGCTCTGCACTTAAAGAAAACCGAGCGCACCTCAGTTGTTGGATAACTTTTCCCGAGGTAGTTATTTAACAATGGACATTTCCCTGCAGCGGTTGAGAGAACCCTACTCACCCTTTAAGCAACACTCTAAGTGCCTTTTGCCAGCCGTGTGGTCGGCCAGGAAGACAGTAGCTGTCTTCATGGCGACGATTCTTGCATCGAGGTTGTGTGGTTGAGCAACAGGAAGCAGGCCTAATGAGATTTGCGCAACCCACCGCTAGGAAATTGGGTGTTGTTTTTTTTACGGGAGTCGAGCGAGGAATAAGGGAAAGCAGCGGCGTGTCGGTGAACGGATCGACTCTACTGTCCCCATCACATTTATATTCATTGTCCCTCTCTGACCCCCCCAGAGAGTCATGGCTTCCATGGATTGTATTAATGTGCTGGTTCCCAACCTTGTGAGCATTTGCACCACAGACAGGAAGCAATGAATGAAATCAGCTGCTCACAGGCGTTACTAAAAACAGCTGTATTCAACGGCGGTTGCCATTTAAAAAAAAAAAAAAAAAAAAAAAAAGGTCAGCAACTCCCAACAATGCGTGTGTAATATAGTGAGGTGGAATGAGGTAAATGCTGCGCATATTTCCAGTGTGAACAGCCGCACACTTACACATTTCCATCAGTAATAAGGGAAGTAATTCATAGTTTTTCCATTGAACTGCCAGAAACAGAAATAAAAAAGGTCACTGTTTTCTGAGACTTGTCCTCAACAAAGGTATTAGATATATTGTCTTCATCAGTCATCACGGTCGTATGAAATACATTTATATTTTGAATCTAAACATGCACGAGTTCTATTGTTCACCTCCCATAAACTGGTCCCAGTCTTCATGTGCTGCTGCTGCTGCTTTAGAGGGTTTAGTGTGGGATTTAAACCAGGATCTAGTGGGATTTTTTTAATTCTAGGATGTGGTTTTCTGTGTGCGGGTTAATTTCATTCTCCCTCTCTCTGTCCACCTCTCAGATCCGGGTTTACATCAACTCCTTGAGGCCTACCAATGAGTCTCACGGAGAGGACCTGAAGGCTCTGCGCTTCATTTCCATCAACTCCATCATCGACCCCTGGGTCTTCATCCTCCTCTCCCCCAGCGTGCTGCACTTCTTTTGGGCCTCGGTTTGCCGGGCGCCCCTGGAAACCTTCAGGGGCTCCATCCTAAGATCATCCATTGCCAAAGAGAATTGCCACACCAACTTTGAACTGTCTCGCCCGACGCTGGAGTACACCGAGCATTTTCATTCTGTGGAAACTCTATGACCACAACAGCGCTTTATTATTTCATGCCTGTATTTATTGGACACTAATACTATATTGTGTTAAACGGTTGAAGCAGCTTGTGCAAGGACATTTTAAAGTAGCCTACAAAGCAGGCAATTTATTCAACAGAGATATTATGAATAATTACACATGACTTTCTCTTGATCTTCAGAACATTATCTCATCACCTCTGACCACTGGTCTGCTTTGGTAACCTCTTCCCCTCGCACGCCTTGCCAGATCCCTGCTGCAAGGGTCAAAGGTCAAGAAGCCCGGAGAGACTTTTTGGAATACAAGAAAGTCAGAGCTTCACTCAGGGAGTGATAAACACAGAAGAGGTTCTGTTGAGGATGTACATTTCATTTAAACATCTACAGTATTAGACACACATATAATATTATATATCATAACAATATATAGAGCAGAGATTAAATGTTTTGTCATTTTAACCCTCCAGTTCCGCCTCAGGTTAACGCCGTTAGCTCCGTCAGCACTTTTGTCATAGTTTGCACTGTTAGCGCTGTTAGCTACGAGCCGCCAGCTCAGCCGAGATGCTCCCGATCTTCTACCTTTAAAAGGACGTTTTCTGTCCTCAATGAATACATGATGGAGCTGAAATTAGAGGCGACAGGGACCCACAAACAAAAGGTTTTTGGAAAATGTTGCCAAAGATTAAAGCCTCTTTTATTTTTTTTAATAAGCTAACGTTTTAATGAGATAAATGTTATATTATTAATACAGTATAAAATAAGAGTTTCGAGATGGTTTACCTTTAAAAAAAGTACCATGTTTTCATTCTGTCAACAGTCATTTTGGGACTTTTTTCTTTTGCCGGGTACTTCTGTTCCATCACGTAACCTAAAAGTCATTTGGAAACTATGAGACGAGCGCCCTTTGTTCTTATTCATCCACTTTACGACAGACGTGCCATTCGAACTGCATTTGTTTTACAAGAGAACGTCTTGAAAATGTCCAATGTGCGTCTATCCAGAGGCCCATCATACATGTGGGACAAAGGACGTCCACGTGAGAGTGCCGCTAATAGCCCAGATGGACAGCGTCATGATTTTGCTCTCTGATCCTTATCGATTGCTCAAACATGTTGGAGCACAATGAGAGAACCCTGGTTTGCTACCCACACCCACCGATGTATCACATGACATTATCATGATGCCAGATCTAACTGACTTGCTGAAACCAGAGTTTCCTGGAAAAATCAGGTGGTTTTCTCCACGTTCGGGTTTGTTAAAATTACACAACACAGATTCAAACGGAGAAGAGGGTAAGCTACTGCGGATTTGTTCTCGGGATCTCTCTCATAAATCTCTGGAGGGAAAAAAGAAAATATTTGTGACTGGGGTTACGCAACAGCAGCTGGGATCCAGTTGAAACTGAAAGAGATTGGTCCTTGTGTGTTTTACAAATGTGAGAAGAAAAAAAAAAGTTTGAGCGTCGGGTAAACTTAAACTTAATTTGAAAGTGTCACGTGTGAGTGCGTGTGAGAGTGTGTGTGTGTGTGTGTGTGTGTGTGTGACGATGTCGTTTGGCTTTTGTGTTGTGAGAACAGCGGTTTATTGGCCCCCGCTGGTCTGTTGGTTCTGAGCTCGGCATGAAACTGTTCGGTGTTTACGACGGCGTCTTACTGCTTCCTGTGGTCGTCCTGTGTGAGTCGCTTTTGCGCGAGTGTGCGTTATTGCAAATATTCCCGAAATGCATGCCTATGCGTCCGTGTGTGTGTGTGTGTGTGTGTGTGTGTGTGTGTGTGTGTGTGTGTCAGACAGCACTGAAATGTAATGGTGTCAAACCAGAATGCTACCTACCTGGATGTCTTGTTCTGTGTAATTATAAAGTACTGTAGATGAAACTGAATGCACTGAGTGTGCTTGTGTGTTTCATGGCTCGTGTAAATAAACATCTCATCCACCGTGTGTATTTTCTGTCCGACCTGCTTTGTAACCCTTTTCCTCCACACACACACAGTTTGTAGATGGGTTCCAGATGTGGCGTGTCTTTCAATTAGAAGTGTGTCTTTTGTAGGAATCCCTATAGGCAGATGCCTATAGCTAGTTTTCCGTCGTGTGTGTGTCGGAACACAACCCATTTCTGTGGTTTGAGCTAAGTAGGTCGATGTGTGGAGGGTAAGCGTCGACCACATCAGCCTATGGGGCCCTTTGAAAATCACAGGCCATGTCTGCAAACAGGAAGTGCCTCGTGTGATCCGAGCTTTGTTCCACCTGCAGCCGCAGTTTTGTGATCATTTATGTGCTCATTGTTTTGGTGTTTATTTCCCACATTCGCGACACTAAGCGAATTGAGGGTTCAGTTGCCATTAGCCAGTGAATGTGCGATAATCTAATTTATATCGTGATGATTCAGGATTGGAGACATTAAATGCCGCTACCCATTTATACGCCGATTTCTTGTCATGTCACGGAGACTTCCTGTTTCTTTGCATGCGTTTTAGGTGAGTCACAGGTCATTTCCTCTCGCCTCTAATCTATTAGTATTTACTTCAGCCCCCACGGCCCGTCACGCCATTTAAAAAGTCATCATGGCTTTGATTGACCTCGTTGATAAGGGTTAGGTGTGAATGTCGTAACAAACTGCCACTAAGATTACGTACGTGAGTGAGAGCATCAGCCGTGTTTCTATTCACATATTTAGATAATACGTCCTCATTAAGGTGTTTTTTTGCCTTTGACGAAGGTTGATGCGCTGAATGGAATGTGGAAAAAGGCCTTTAATAAGTTCTGACACAGCGGACAGTTGACTCTCAAGACTGAGCAGTGTAACGTCGCTCTATGTCTGCTCAATGAGTAAATAAATACCTTAATATGGGGATACTATGGCAATGTTGTGGGCACAGTTAGCTGTGCTACCCCATGATGTCGGCCATTATGGGATAACAGGACCAAAACGTTGAGTCGGACTCAAACCCGCGCTGAAAGCACACGTCATGCGATTACTTTGTAACATCACCCCCCTCCCCTCCCCACCCCCACTTCGTAATTACCCATAATTCACTGTGTATCATGCTTGCTCTCTGTCAATTAACATCCCATCAAAAAACAATTACATCCAAACCGCCCAACCAGACATGAGGAGCATATCAGCATAATTTAGTTTATTCCACGTAATTGATTAGCTGATTAATCAACCCTGTCTGTGTAATTGGGTAATGCGGTGTCTTCTTGTGTTGTGATTAGGTCAGAGGAGGAAGGAGCTGACCTGTGTGTTGAGTGTGTGTGTGAGAGCCTGCACTTTATTCCAGATAGCGGCACCATAATATTGGAGGCTGAACCACTGATAGCTGTGGGGCCGGAGGGTGGGGGTGCGTGGAGTTGCAGCCAGGTCATCTAGCCAAAATAAAGTCAACCATTAAAATAATTATTTGGGTTAAAGGAAACATGTCATACCAGAAGACTTTTACTGTCTGTCCGCCAACGCTATTGAGCTTAGTTTCATTTGACTTTCTGCAGAATTTCCTCATTAGTCAAACTGAAATTAGTCGGTTGCCAACTTTTGATATTTGAGTCACATACAACTGCCCACACAATATTTTCCACTTTCATATACACATTATAATCATCTCTGGGAACTAGAGAGGATGTAATACTACCTGTTAGATTGTCTTCTTTATGGTAAATGAAATGTCTCGCCACATTTTCCTGTTACAGCTTGTAACTTGAGGTCTGCCAGGACTGAGCTTCTGTGAAGAAAACACAGCAACCTCTCTCTGAAAACACTTTTTTTTAACAATGAGACGATGCTCTCTCTCAGCTGTTTGGCCAGTCACAACCTCGGGTAGAGAAAGCTCCAAAAAAAGGGTTACAAACTCCTTGCTGCTGTGCTTTTCCAGCCTGACTTTAGATTTCCATTTGAAAAATGAACACCCATCTTCTTCACCCTGATTATAATGAAGGAACATTCTTCTGGTAATAGCCTTTTAAATGGCCTCATTAGTCCTCAAGGCTTTTATTTTTTACAGAAATCACACCCATGCTTCATGACTTACTTAAGGGTAATTTAGCAGCTTTATAAAAACACGTTTGCTGACGCAGAGGGACAAGACTGCCTTTTGACAATTTTGTATGTAAACTGAAAACTTTATGCATCGTTCATATACAGTCTCTGCAAGCTGCATATATGTTGCGTTAGAATAACAGGCTTCAGTTCATGTTTTTCTACTCAAGTGTTAAAATGATCCAGATGAAATATTATGTGGAAAGGGTGTTCAACATGTGTTTTGTGTCTCTCTATCTTTGAGCTTCTGAACAGCTGTGGAGTGATTTGGGGAGGACATTTGAGCAAAGAAAGGGACGGATGGGGAGGTGAGGGACATTTTATCTTTTTAACTTGTTGAATTGGACTGTAATAAAACATAAAAAGCATTTTTTCCCTCCTCACTTATCTAGACGGGAGTTTCATTGACCGTGCGTCCTCATTTTCAGGCTCATTTAAAGGCCGCTGTAGGAGCTACAAGGAAAAACATCACCATCTGAGGCGTTACTGCTGGAATAGAAACCCTGGAGCTGGTAGCAATCACCGGGCCGCGCTGCTGCTATGACATCACCATGACTCGGTGAGGAGAAAGTGAGGAGGCGGTGGGGTGAGAGTCTAGGTTTTGACCCTCGAGAGCACTTCCTCTCTGCGGGGAAAGTTGCTAATATTTGAGCCTCGAGCTCTGCCGCCGGCCTACGAACTGTCAGAGTAAACAGAAATAAGCAGCAGTGCTCAAAGGGGCCAGCGGCCGTCGGTCAGGACAGAGGGATGACCGACGAGGGAATTTTATTCAAGTGAAACTTTTCCCTCGCACACACATGCAATGTGGTGGCATTTATGGTGAATTATGGGTAAATTAAACGGACGTTTCTCTCAACATGCAAATCTGGTACAGTGCATACAGCAGATGCATGTGAAAAGACGCGTTTATGCATAAATACATTAGTTAATGGTCGTTTTAGGATGGGGATTTGACAGCATCCCATAATACATAATGCTGTCTAGATGGGTTTAGTCCGTCCGTCCTCTGGTGTCTGCTGAGTGAATTTCTATTAGATTAGTGCTGTCAAGTAGAAGCCATTTGAAGTCTTAATGATGAGGACAAAGTACGCTCATGTATAAATACATATTTATGTCAAGGTTGCACAGCAGGCTGCAGGGGGGGCGGTCCCAAACGCAGACAAAAACGCGGAAGCGGAAGGAACAATGCAATGATTTCATTTTTTTTTTTTTAAATGCGTACATGCTGGAGTACAAACATAACGGGCAGGAAACAGCAGGCAAGGACGCGGGCAAACTCCCCACAACATAACTGGAGACTGAACAAACAGGACCGGGCCGGTACTGAGTAACAGGGAGGTGGGAAGAGGTGAGCAGGAGCACAGGTGACGAGAGACGGGAGAAACTAAACGCAAGGGCGGCAAAACAAGACACATGAGGGGTTACCTTCAAAATAAAAGCAGGAAGACATGAAAAAGAAGACCCAAACTACTGCTTGAAACAGATGCTTGAAAGTCTTAAAACGTCATTCCCCTCTAACGGACTGTTGAGAAATACGGCGTATGAATCAGAGGTATGTTGATCCCTGAGAGAGGGCCGACTGTTGACAGCTCCCTCTTTTTTCCCCCCTCTCTCTCCGTGAAACCACTTCCTCTGCAAAAAACCACAACCACTCTCCTCCACTCTCATTGCGACATCCATACAAATCTCACGGCTCATTTACAGACGGAAAACGCAGGCGAACACAGAGACACTGGACGGGGAAGAGGGTGAGAAAGGGTGGCTGAGCCAGAGAGGCATTTCCCCCTTCTGGTTACAGAGATGACATAACCCTTGAATGTCCACTCTTAACACACCGCAATGACAAACCGTTTCTGGACACAAGGAGTAGTTAAATACAGCAGCGCACGCAATAACAACATCAAAAACATCTGCGAGAAAACCCGCCAAGTAGGTGAGGCACCAGCCTACAACCAAATTTAGACTGGGACAAACAACAGCACGCTTTACGACACACACACACCTTTACTGTTCTCTTTCCTTTGCCGACTATGTCTTGAGATCTAAGCCACAGACATTGACGTTAAGTGTTTTAATGTTTGTAAGATTTATTCTATTGCATTGTGAAGTAAACCCAAAAGGGAGCATTTCATGGCACGAAAAGATGCTAACTGAAATTAGCGCCTCGCGGTTGCACGACCTCCGCTAACCAGCAGTTTACATCCACGTCTGGACCTTTGACCACCGAATTCCAATCAGTTCATCCTTTAGTCCCAAGCGTTGCGTTCTCGAGAACGGACCGGACGGAAGCACAACGCAGAAACATAATCAACATATCGAATATTGTCCAGAACTGTCTGGCGTCACTGAAGACAAAATAACAGTAGGCATACTGATATCGGGGCTGTTGAAGCAGCTGCGTTTACATTCATACTAGAATAACACTGATTAGCGTGACATGCTACAGGGGCTGCTATTTACGCTGATGATATGAAACCACAGATACGACGTGTTCCCCGAGCGGCTCGTCCTTGCCAAAGCAGCTGATACTAAGATGGCTGAGTGACAGTGGCGCAGGTTTTTTTTTTAGCCGTTAGCTGCTATCGGTTCTTTTGATTTTTATCAAGAGGAGACGGGTCTGCGTGTCTCGCAGGATGCATCTGTTCAGAGAGGAAAGCACCAACAGCCGGACCGCAGAGAGAAGCCGACAAAGACAATACCCGAGTGGCCAGAGTTGACTCGGTAAAAGGTGTGTTTTGTTTGTGACAGCTGACCGGGTGAGAAGTCAGTGGTCTAGACGTGTGCTGTCTAGGGGAGAAGTTAAGTGTGTGTGTGTGTGTGTGGTAATTTCTCAGATTTGCAGCTAAAACAATAAATCACTCAAGCCGCCAGTTGGTGCTGAGAAACAAATGAGTCAGAAAACACATT